CTGATATATAAGCCCCAATGGTGACTTCTCTCAAGTGCCTCAGGTCTCCAGCTATATATTGTTGGTTCTGCATTAAATTATTAACATGCTATGTACCAAACATTCTTCACCATTTTTCCAAAAATGTTTCTCATCTCCCCCTTATGCTGCAAAGAAAAAAAACTTCAAAGAATTATAAGCTTCAGAGGTTTTTTTTTTTTTTTATAGATTATCTAGTTCAGTCCTCCCACTTGACAGGTAAGAAAACACAGGCCCAGAATAGTTAAGTACTTAACCAAGATCACGTATAAGACAAAAAATATTTTCTAGACACTGACTATATATCAGTGATACTCAGTGTTTAACACAGATACTTATTCCAAAAATAGTTTGAAGAATCTAATAAAAGGTAAGACATTTCTGGGAAATCGTTTTATCTATTTGCTTTAGTAAAGTATGTCATTAATTTGAATTCTTGTTCTAAAATTTTTTTATTAAAGCTAATCCTATATAATAAAGAGCTAATATGCTAATTAAACTGAACAGCAGAACAACCGTCCGGAAGATCTTCCAGACAAGCCAGGGCTGGCCAGGGCTGCGAGGGCTGAACCCCTTGCATGAATTTCATGCATCGGGCCTCTAGTTCAATATAAAGGTACTCACAAAATTCAACCTCAGTGATCCAGTTATTGTATCCCCCAAATTAATGGGTTGAAGTCCTAATCCCCAGTACCTCACAATATAACTTTATGTGGAAATAGGTCTTTACAGATATGATTAGTTGAGAGAAGGTCACGAGGGTGGACACTACTTCCTTTTCCCCTCACTTGTGGATCACACAGCCCTTTCCTTGAGTCTCTGGACACTGGCCAGTGATGAGTTGGGCTTAGGGAGAGGAAGAGGCCCTGCCTAGGCTTTCAACATTAGTCAGATGCTCACTCAGTTTTACCGAAACTTTCTGCACTGGATTACCAGACATGTGTACATAAATTACAAAACATCACTGACCCCTTTCTGTCCTCTTCTTCAAGAACCTCATAGATGGCAGGGCCAAGCCAGAATCCAGGCGTCCATGGGTCAAAATCTTATGATTACACTACTAACATTTATATGTTTAAACTTCCCTCCCTGTGTAGTAGGACGGAGTAAAGGTTGATAAACAGAGGAAAGACATGATCACAACTGTATATTTGCAGGATGTCAACTAGTGGCTCCTTCAGCCTTCAGATTCAGAGAAGATCAAACCTCCAGGTCTTGTCTGGAGAAGTATCAGGAGATTTATGTTCTTATAGTTACTTCAGCCTCTAAACTCCCACATCTGATATATCTGTTCTGCTTAGGTTTCTTCTTGCCATTGTGTGCCTGCTACTGTTGTTCTGTATCTCACTAATACAAACACAAAACTTAGAACTTTTACTTTGTAAACTCTCACATGTGGCATCTGTATGTATGGAACTAAAGAGGTAGGGTTTGTGGTGTTTACAATAACTCTTAAAGAAAACTCAGCCCTGTCATGTGGCTCAGTTGGTTGGAGCATTATCCATATACTGAAAGGTTGTGGGTTCGATCCCTGGTCAGGGCACATTCGGAAGGCGACCAATCAATGTTCTCTCACACATCAATTGTTCTCTCTCTCTCTCTCTCTCTCTCTCTCTCTCTCTCTCTAGCAATCTATCTATCTATCTATCTCTTCCCTCCTTCTCACCCCACCCCCCTCCCTCTAAAATCAATAACAATATCCTCGGGTGAGGATTTATAGAAAATTAAGAAACTGACTATGTTGGTCCAGGACTGTGCAGTGAGCCTAATCATGAATTCACAATTGCTCCCAAAAGACATGTTTGGGGGTCTTTTCCAGTGATGCTCAACAGGCAGAGGGAGCATGGAAGGTTGAGCTGGCCCAGGACTGGAATTCAGCAGAGGGAAGAAGTATAACTGAAGGGAAAGGGATTTTGAGGGTGTTGGCAAGAGTGTGGCTTAAGTGCCAAACCTAGGCCAATTTGGGCTATTAGTGAAAACTGGTGGGGTTTAGAAATGTGGAAATTACATGGTCTCTAGTACAACCTGTTGCCCAAATAAATGAAGAACTAATGGTTCTTTCGTTAATCTCTGAAGAACTAGACACCTGGAGGTTAGAATAAATGCCTGATTTTAGCAATGTCCTTCAGTTATAGGCACCTCTCACTGACACCAGAAAGGTGTTATCAGACAGGACAGCCTCCTGAGCTAGTGGGAGAGGGCTGTCCCTAACCTCAATCCTTGTCTTCTCATGTAAATGAGTTTATAGGAGAGATCTTGACTGCATTGTGAAAAGCCAGTTTATTGAAGTGATTAAAGCATGCACCTTTATTGAAAAGGCAAAGCAAAGCAAGCAACTCTATCTCATCCGGCTTGGAGCACAGATGGGCTTTCCCAGCTAATCCGGAAAAGCGAGTGTCTGGACAAGTTCGAGGAGTAATACACCCTCCTCCTGTCTGTAGGTTTCAGAAGATGATTCATTTGCTGAGTATCTTGGTATAGGTTAAGTGTCAAGGTTTTCCTGTTGTGGCAACTCTCTCTTGCTGAACCCTGAGACTGCTGGCTTTGCTTCGGGAGTAAAAGTGCCATTTTTTCCTTTCCCTTTTCCTTTCCCCCTCCCTTTCTGCATTCTCTCAGCAGGGAGGTCTTTAACTGTTTGCTCCCAGAGTGTCCTGGGGAAGATACTGGTTTGTTGTTTGCAGGCCAGTTGCAAATTATTCACAATGTTTGGCCTTGTCCTAATTTTCCTCTCTCAGCTTCCCCCATTCCTCCTGCCCAGGAATCCGGTAACACTTCAAAACAACACCCTGCCAAGGCCAAACTAGGGGCAGGGTGGGAGGTGGTCACGGGTGGTCCAACTGCAGTGGCATCTGCTGTGGACTGCAGAGAAGCAGCCAGTCTAAAGGAAGCCGTCAGGGTGACACCGCTGGCTTCCTGTCTGCTTGAGCACCTGGGTTCAGTGGTAACAGGCAGCCCGTGATAGAAAAACCCGGTGCTTTTCAGATCTATATTCATATTCCACAACCTATGAGTATTCAGATTTCTTCTGCCAAGTGTGAGGGTCTCTGTCACCTACCTATCTGGTGGTGGTAATGACCCACTTCTAGTTTTCCTTTCATGCATTCTCGTTGCCGAGAGGAAGATATATCAAGTAAATACAAATGTAAAACTCTCTTCAAAAAGTGGTATCAACACTTGCTCAGTGTTTTCAAGGAAGAGTCCTAAGAAAATATAGAACCATAATTATTTCTTGAATTCTTTTTTTAATAGAAATTTAGAAACCAGATGTCTATGGTTTGGAAAGTAAGGTGGCCTTTTCGGTCTCTCTTTTGTACAGAGCACATTCATTTTAAACCTGGTCCCCAGACCTTGTGGTTCTTCCATCAGGTGGCTATGAAGGTGCCATGAAACCCATAAGGCATTTGCACAGGCACCTCTGCTCGGCCCAGTTCTTCAAAGTTCTTGGCATCCAAGACTAGCAGAAAGTTGCTTTTATTCTAGAAAAGAAACAATATTAAAAATTCCTTTTTTTCTATTAAAAATATATCTCTCTCCTCCACTAGGCTATAAAATTCCTAAGAGGGAGATCATGTATTATTCATCTCATAGCTATCCTCAGTACCTAGTAGAGCGCCTTGCCTGCCCAGTCACTAAATGTTTGCTAAATTGCTGGAGTGAATGGGAAGCTCATACCTAGAGTGGAAAAATTACATTGTTTATATCAATCACCTTCATAGGTGATTGTTTAAGGATCTTTTTACCTGTTTCACAGAACTTCTTCCTTCCGAATTAGAATTGCCTCCCTCCATCTTGTGTTACTTGGGAGCTGACCAAACATATCACTGCAAGGCAGACCGAGACTTGCCTGGTATGAACACTGGAGTGGCAAGTACATGGTATTAGGACAACCCCTCCTAAACCATGGCAGGCCTGACTCACTTGTCAGAGAACATTCCTCACCAAGCCCTTTGAAAGGGTTCGAGTTCTACCTCCCAGGAAGCCTCTGTGGGTTCATCAGAGCTGGTATTCAAGGGGAGCCTGCTTGCCACAAGATTGCCCCAGAGGAGAGGTTAGATATGATTGAGACACCAGATCTGGGCTTCACCACATTAGACTTTAGGGTCACTCAATTGAAACTGGCAGCACAGATGGTATGACTATTAGACTGGAAGTCAGAAGACTGGGGTTACATACTGGCTTTCCTACGATGAGATCTGATACAAATCTCTCTCAGCTTTCTTAAGTTACAAATGCCACATATGTAAATGGTATCCCACAAAGTTGTTTTAATGGGTAAATAAAATAATATGTCTGAAAGTAGTTTGTAACTGCATTCCTATGCGAATATAAATGACCATAGTTCTACAAATAGAAATTTAAACCAATAAAAAGTATGGATTATCATAAAAGGGTACATGAATGGTAAGGACGGGAAGAAAAGAGGAGGTGCCACACTGGAATAAAAATACACTATCGACAGCTTCACTGAATATACCCCTCACATAGCCCTCAAAAGGCCCAGAATTACTTTTCTTTCTGATTGGTGACAGGGAAATACATTTACCTGGTTGGGGGTGATCACCACAGAAAGAATAACCCCACCATCTTCTTCACTGGTCTCTGGTACTGGAACAAAAACAGGTTCTGAAGGATAAAAGTCATCTTCTCTCCAAACCTGTAACTCCCCCAAAAAAGTATTTGATAGAAGGTTAGTTATGAGCTGGAAGCTTTCAATAGCTTTTTTCCCATCCCAGCATGAATTTGGCTGTCAATATAATATTCCAACAACAACAAAAAACACACAAAAACCAGACTTACTGAGTTGAATATATGAGAGAGAGAGAGAGGGAGCTTTTGAAGCTGCACATTCTATCATCATCAAACACAATTTGTGAAATTATAATTTCCCATCAACCTGAAATATAGTTATGCCAACAACCTTAGCCCCATGATTTCTCTCAAAATAACATCAAGCTCAGAATTCTATTTCTGGGCTTGTGGCTCATTTAGATTCCCTGGAGGGAACATACTCCTACCTAGGTGACTCCATGGTTCTCAAACTTAATAAAAGTAAGTAGCTGAGCCGCTTAAATATTAGAGAAGCTCAAAAGCTACCTTAATCTGAACAGAAACTCATTCCAAGGGCAGAGCAGGTCCTTTCAGGGTTTAGAAAACAAAAGAGATTTTCACATGATCTCACTTATTCATGGATAATTGAGACCATTATAAACTTTTGAACAATAATAGATACAGAGGCAGAGCTGCCTCAAACAGATTGTCAAACTGCAGCGGGAAGGCCGGGGGGGGTTGGGGGCGGGAGGTAGGGGGGTAAGAGATCAACCAGGAATCGACACATATGTAATACCCTTTGTAATAAAAAATTAAAAAATATATATTAAAAAAAGAGAGAGAGATTTTCATTACCTTTAGAGTCTTGTTCACCACATCAACCTTGATCAGAGAATCCCCTACCAAATGCCGAAAGCCACAGCCATAGAAGAAACGATATTTTTTGCCACAGAATTGGCCATAGTTGATCTGGGGAAATTCAACACCTCCTTCCTGTTCTAAGTTCTCAGGGTGTAGATTTTCATAAGAGCACCAAATCTGAAAAGGTTCCAAAAGATTTGTAAGTGATTGCTTAATCCTCACTTATTTTCTTCCGTGTAGGTCTGGAGGGGTGGGGGGGGCGGGGTGCGGATAACACTCTGTACGAGTTTCTGACAGGGCTTGAAAATGGAGGTCCTATGTAAGTTTTTATATTGTTCTCCTTTCCATCATGGGTAAAAATGCATAAAAGATTATCTGGTTTTGTGACTAAGCTGATAGGAGGTACAAGTGGGCTTTTTATTCTACTAAAGCTAAGATATTGATAGCTACCCAGTAAGATGCCTGTGATAAGCACAAATTACATAAAAGGCAGGGGTGGTCAATACCAACCTCAAATATTTAAACATTTTACAACCATTCGAAAGTTGCGTATATCTGTTTCAAAACACAGAAGAGAGCAGTAAACACAGTGCTCACTCCCAAACCGAATTCTGCGGTTCTTGTGCAAGCGAAGTACCTGGACCTGAGCCTGCTCAGCTGAATGTTATGAAACCTACTGTCCGTCAAACACTGTGGGAAATGGCCAGTGAGTAAAAACGACACTAACATCCAATGTCTTCATCTAATATCTGCTCAGAGCCTACCTTGCCATCAGCCTGTTTCACAGCACTGGCCGAGGAGTAGGACAACGGGCTGAGGTTCTCTCCCTCAGGGGCGTTCAAACTGACACGTAAGGGCAAAACAAACCTTCGAGGGAAAGATGTGGCTACTGAATTGTAGACCTGTTCAGGAGAGAGAAGTAAATGGATGAGGAACTTGTCATTCAGCACGTCCCAAAATTTAGATTCAGGCAACATTATTGTCATTCCTAAGTAATTGCACACATGATCATTTTTACTCCTTTATTTATACAACAAATGCCTGTTGAGTACCTACTACAGGTACCGTTTTAGACACTGGGAATACCGCTGTGAACAAAACAAAGCCTCTGGCCTCATGGAACTTATTGTCTAGTGGAGAAAGAATGATAGTAAATAATATATGTTGTTTAATTAGTGTCAAATAAACAAACGATTATATAGCCCAGGTTCTGACAGTGATAAATGCCATTAAGAAACATATTGCAGGGTGGAGAACTAGCGAGTAACAAGGGCTGCTTCCTTCTTCAGGTTTGGTCAGGATAGACCTCTGGGTGGGAAAGGGTTAATTTAGCAGGCATAGGTTGCTCAGACTCTGCACACTCTCAAGAAAGGCCTGTTTTCCTGCCTAGCACCTGGGAGCCAAACTCTTCCTTGGACTGATCTGTCTGATAAAAGTATGTTGCATACCTGAGGCCTTGGGTCACACTGTACTTATTTATCCAGATAGTTTATGCTGAAATGTGATTTATAACGAGCCCCTGCTTTCTCTGTGGGGTCTGGAGCTTCAGTAACTGAGATTGCCCATGGAGGGGCTATATGTCATGTGAAGATCCCCAATAAAAAACCCTGGACAACCAGATGCGTGCCTCTGAGGATTCAGTTTCCTCCAGACTTCACCCCTGCGCCTCTTTCTATTGCTGATTTTTTTGGGGCCTGTGAATCCTCCTAGTGAATTATCAAGCGGGACCTCCAATATAGCCTCTCTGCAGAGGTGATGTTTAAGTAAGAGACTCTAATAAAATAAGTGTATTTTTTCTGATAATAAGAGTGCTTTAAGTACATTTTTCTCCCATAAAATATTGTAAGATGGAGAACGAACTGCCATTTCTCCCATATACCTAGTCCATATTATCTCCATCTCATGCAGAAATGTTTTTACTGAGTAAAGACTTAGTGTTATGTTTAAACTACGTGAAGAGTTTATTTGTTTTTATTACTTTTAAATTTATTTAAATATTTTTTTCTTTTACAAAACCATAACGGAACAAAAAGAGACTCTCAATAATGGTAGATGAGGTCATGTGGAGGGACAGAAAAGCTGGACAAAAATGTTTAAAACAGCTGCTTAAAGGCACTGTTGAGCTAAAAAGCAGTGAAGAAAAATGGGGTGGAGATTTGGAAGGAGATAAACTAGATATTGGGGGTACTTTTTCCCCAAAGGACATAAGATGCTTTTAGGAAAAGACAGCCAAAGGCTGAGAAAAATCAAGCGATTTCTTTATCATACTTTTTATTTTGAGATAATTGCAGATTCACATGCAGTTGTAAGAATACAGAAAAACAATTGATTTTAAAATGGGCAAAGGACTGAAAGAAATATCTTTCACCAAAGATAAACAAATGGACAATAAATACATGAAAAGATGCTCAACAGAATTGGTCATTAGGAAAATGTGTATCAAAGCCACAATGAGATAACACTTCATACTCATTAGGATGGCTATTATAAAAATGTAAAAAAAAAAAATAACAGTGTTGGTGAGAACATGGAGAAATTGAAACACTTGTACATTGCTGGTGGGAATGTAAAATTGTGCAGCTGCTATGGAAAACCATTTGGCAGTTCCTCAAAAAGTTAAACATAGAATTATCATATGACCCAGCAATTCTAGGTAAATACCAAAGGGAATTGAAAACAGGGGCTAAAATAGATACTTGTATGCCAGTGTTCCTTTTTAAAAAATATATTTTTATTGATTTCAGAGAGGAAGGAGAGGGAGAAAGAGAAACATCAGTGATGAAAGAGAATCATTGATCACCTGCACCCTACTGGGGATCAAGCCCACAACCCAGACATGTGCCCTGACCTGGAATCGATCCATGACCTTCTGGTTCATAGGTCGATGTTCAACCACACCAGCTGGACTATTTTCCAATGTTCTTAACAGTATTATTCACAGTAGCCAGAAAGTAAAAACAACTCAAATGTCCACCAACAAATTAAATAAAATGTGGTATGTGTATATATATATATTATTCAACCTTTAAAAGGAATGAGATTCTGATACATGTTACAACATGGATGACCTTGAAAAGGTTATGCTAAATGAAATAAGCCAGACACAAAAGAATAATTCGTGTATGATTCCACTTATATGAGGTAACTAAAACAGGCAGATTTGTAGAAACAAAAAGTAGAAGGGGAGAGGGGGGAACAGAGAGCTGTTATTTAAGGGGTACAGAATTTCTGTTTGCAATGATGAAACAGTTCTGGAAATGGATAGTGGTGATGGTTGCACAACATTGTTAAAGTACTTCATGCCACTGAATTGTACACCTAAAATAGTTAAAATAGTAAATATTATGTTATGTATATTTTATCACATGAAAAAAGAAACAATGCATCCTTCATCCATTTTCACCAATTACAATGTCTTACATAACTACAGAACAATATCACAACTGGGAAATTTACTTTGACATAATCTACTAACTTTATTCCGATTTCACCAGTTACCATGCACTGGCTCTTGCAGGGATTACATCATGCTTCAAATTAAGATTAAGACTAGACCCAGAGAGAACCAAGATGGCAGCGTAGGTAAATGCCTGTACTTGCCACCTCCCACAACCACATCAAAATTACAACTGAAATACAGAACCACCATCATTCAGAACTGCCTGAAAACTGGCTGAATGGAAGTCTTACAACTGGCGAAGTAACGAAGAAAGCACACTGAGACGAGTAGGAGGGGCGGAGGTGCCAAACAGGCTGGTCCAACACCCACATGTATCATTTTTTAATTGGGAGGGAGATCATCTCTATGGAGGCTGCCCATGAGGAACAAGAGGTCCCAGCCCCACTCCAGACCCCCAGACCAGGGTTCCAGACCTGGGAAGAGAAGTCCTCGTTAACTACAGGCTGTAAAAACCAGTGGGAGCTGAAACTGGTTTGGCTCAGTGGATAGAGCGTTGGCCTGCGGACTGAGGGGTCCTGGGTTCGATTCCGGTCAGGGGCATGTGCCTGGGTTGCAGGCACATCCCCAGTGGGAGATGTGCAGGGGGCGGCTGATCGATGTTTCTCTCTCATCGATGTTTTCGGCTCTCTATCTCCCTCCCTTCCTCTCTGTAAAAAATCAATAAAATATATTTAAAAAACAAACAAACAAAAAAACCAGTGGGAATTGTGGCTGAGAGACACAGAGGCTGCTGGAGACCCAGATGTTCCTTTTAGAGGGCCAACACATGAACGTACTCAGACTCACTTCCACTGAGCTCCAGCACCAGGTGACTCTGAGCGACCCAGTCACATACAGGGAGAAAGTGAGCTGTCTTGCATCAGGGCAGGAACTTGGTGGCAGCTTTCTCCTAGACAGGGGTGCTAGTAAGGGTCATTGTTCCTGTGCTGAGACGTCCCCTGTCACAGGACTGGCAGCCATATCTGAGTTTCCATCAGCCTGGCCCACACTGTTTATTCCATCCTGGGGATTCCCTGAGACCTGTCCCATCCAATTTGCAGCCCCACCCAAGCTGTTTGCAGTGGCTTTTCCATATGAATGGCCTGTCTTGGCTCAGGCTTCAGAATTTGCTAAATCTCTCAAACAAGCTGCAGCTTGTGTCAGCATGCCCCAAACTATCAATAAAAGGTCCAAGATCCCCACTAGCACCAGCCTGCCTTGCTTCACAGCTGGGCCTCACCTCCTGCATAGCAGCTCTCCCACTGTAGTTGCAGCTGGTCCTCACACAATTGGTCTGGAGGTCAACTCCTCCCAGAGACACCAACAACAATCAATGCTCAACTACAGGACTATACACACAGTCCACACAGGGACGCACCTAGAGTGCCCAGCTCAGGTGACTGGCAAGGCTGAGCCACTGGGCCCTACAGGACATCGACTACACAAGGCCACTCTACCAATTCCAGGAG